ACTTCTCAATGCTGAAATCCTTGTGGCAAGAGATAAATCTAATGGAAATAGTTGTTTGGGAAGGCACAAATGATGTTGAGACATACATAAAATTAGTTGAGAGGAATAGGGTTTTTGAATTCTTGATAGGGCTGAATCCAGAGTTTGATATTACCAGACAGAATATCCTAGCTAAGGATAATGTATCTTTGTCTCAGGCTTATGCCATGGTGAGCAGTGAAGAGAGCAGAAGGCTGGTCCAGGTTCAAGGGACTATCCCAAGTGACCATTTTGCTAATATGGGCTTGAAACCTAAGATGACTACAGGTAGTTCAGGTGGTTCAAGGAAGAAGGAGGTTATATGTGAGTACTGCAAGAAACCCAAACATACAAAAGATAAATGTTGTAAACTTTATCCAAAACTTCTTCCACCTCATTTTCAAAAGAAGGTTGATAGTGGGAAGTCAGGAAGTGCCAACACATCCACAGTCTCAAATAATGACAGGTGTTTCATAGATAAGAGGAATTTACCTGGGTAAATGGCTGGATAGAAAATGAATGGGGCCTAGAAACAAAAACATTTCAGGCATTTGTTTTTTGTTTTTTTTTGCACAATGTGTATACATCAAGGGAATTTAGTTTGGGTCTGGCATTTGTTTACTTTGTCTTACGCAGCCTGTACATGCTCATTACTTCCTGTTACTAATGCAGACAAACCGGCTAAGATTCTCAGATATGGATGTCAATATTAATATAGATTCATGAGAGGGGAGTTAGAATTCCTTTTCCCACATCTAGGACAATTTCGATTGAGTACTTCATCTAATGTGCTTGATTCCAGACTTCAGTTTTTAATTTTAGGGGCCGTTTGCTAGCTGCCAAATTGGTTGGGTTAAATTGTTTATTGGTCTGCCTTTCAGTGGATAAAACAATTATATATAAAGTATTCATGACATATTCAGCAGTAAAGTAGGCAATCCAACATGAAATTCAGTAATTAGAGTTCAAGCCTTACTTGATTGCTTACAACTGTAGGACAAGCTAATAAGCAGTTGAGTCCATCCAATTCAGTTGGTGTTATCGAATGGCCCCTTGATGTCTTTTCAAACTCTATCAAATGAATGAAACTTTTTATTACAAAGCATCCTTAAGGTTTATTAAAATATACCATTTATATCCTTTGTCAAAAGAAAAGATAATGTCATTGGGGGCTAAGAAAATTGAGAAAGTTGGGCTGGAATATATTCTTTTTCTTTTTCTTTTTCTTTTCAGAAGGGCTGGAAAGTATTCAAGTACTACCTAGATGAGTCATAGGATGTCCACATATGCATGTATTATTCTACTGGGCCAACATGCTTCCATAGAACTTTTTTTTTATCAGAAATGGTGACTTTCATTAGAAAAATTAATAAAGTACACTGTCACCACCCAAGAAAAGGGTGTTGACTCTTAGAAGAGAGATTTCATATTACAGAACAGCCCAAAACAAGTTCTCCCTGAAAGTTCCTTGTTTCACAAGGGTTTTGGCTGCTAATCCATTAGCTTATCTCCTTGTCCATCTGAATCGTACCCCAATCTCCCTTGCTAAGCAAGTTACTTCTCTCATGAGTTGACGATGTGGTCAGACCCCCAAGTTATGTGATCGCACCCACCCAATTAATAATTTAGAGTCTCCTTTGCCTCAATCTGGTTTAGGCCCCATTGCTTAGCCAACCTTAATCCTTGGAGTAGGGCCAAAATCCCTGCTCTGAAAGAGTCTCCAACACCTATTGGACCAGAGTACAATGCAATCAATTTGCCTTCCCTATCTCTGAAGGCTCCTCCCACTTAGAGGGACCTGGGTTGCCTAAAGAGCTTCCATCAAAGGAGGGGTCCACTGTTCTTTTATGATAGACCTTACTGAAGAAGAGCTTGCCACACTGTTCCATCCTCTATACAAGTCCTCAGCTGAATTGTCTTTAAATAATGGAGAAGATTTGAGCCAATGTATAACCTTGGTAGTTATGCGATCAATGACCTGCTCCTTAGATCTTTTCAACTCCTTAAAAGATCCTATTGTTTATTTCTTCCCAAATTGACCACAAAACAGCTACTCTTGTCGCTCTCCACATTGCTCTTCCTTGCTACATTCAAAGGAGGGGTCCACCTACAACCAAAAAGAGAAGAAAACCAATTCCAAACAAAGGAAACAAATGGACAGGATATTAGTAAGTGTGAAATTGTCTCACCACATTCCAAGTAGAGGATACACACATGGGGTGAGAGGCAACAATTCGACCTTCTTTTTTGAAGCATGTCAAGGTATTGATTTTCTGGAGCACCACCTCCCAACAAAAGGCCCTAATCTTTTGGGGTGCAAGGTTGCACCAAACCTCCTTTGTTGGAAAGAAACCTGCCAATGGCTTGAAGAAGAGCAATGTAGAAAGAAACACTAGTAAAAGTCCAAAAGGGGAAACTGACCAAATTCTGCTATCCAGGCAGGACTGATCTAGGAACACACTGTTAAGAAGGGCAATCAGATCATCAACCATTCACATTTCAGATTCCCTCAACCCCCTTCTCAATCCCAAATCCCAAGAATTATCATTTAGGTAGACAGAGGGAATTGTTTTTACTTTATTCAGTGAGAGGGAATAGATGGATGGGAATCTGTCTTTGAGGGAGATATCCCTGAACCAGACATCTTCCCAGAAGCGCACTTTATTTCCTGCACAAGCATCAAATCTGATATATGGGAGAAAGGAGGGCAAAACGCCATGGATAGCTTTCCAAGGAGAAGATGCCCTAGGGTCAATACCAGCATCCCACCTTTTTTCTGCCAATTCATGCATACTCACTATCACTTTGTGCCACAAGTTGTCCTATTCCAGAGGTAGTCTCCACAACCACTTCCCCAACAAAGCTATGTTCCTTAGCTTTATGTTTCCTATGCCCAACCCTCCACTATGTCTACTCCTAGATACCACCTCCCACTTCACTAAATGCTCTTTCTTTGTATCCCCTGGTTCCCACAAAGTCCCTCATTAATTTCTCCAATTTGTTGGCCACACTAGTAGGGATTTTGAAGGTAGAGAGGTAGTAAATTGGCAAGTTTGCCAAAGTTGACTTTATTAGGGTAATTCTTCCTCCCAAAGAGATGTAATTCCTCTTCCATCTTGATAGCCTCTTTGAGAACCTCTCCAAGACTGGGTACCAAAAACTTTCTGATTTTGGCTTCTCCCTAAAGGTAATCCTAGATATTGTAGCGGCCACTCACTAGTCTCACAACCCAACACTCTAGCAAGGTTTCCCACCTCTTCTTCCAATTTATTTACCCCGGCCACACAACTCTTTCCCAATTTATTTTGAGATTAGAGGCCCTTTCAAAATGAGTCACCAAACTTTTTAGATTAATTAAGTCCTCTTCTTCCCCTTCACAGAATACAATAAAGTCATCCACAAACTGCAAGTGTGTCACCACCACTGCATCCCTCCCGATTCTCCAGCCTCTAATCAAGTTATTAGAATCAGCCCTAGCAATCAGATCACTTAAGATGTCAGCTACTAAGGTAAAGAGAATGGGGAGATGGGATCTCCTTGTCTAAGGCCTCTCTTTTTTTGGGAAAGGTAATGTAATTTTATTCAGCACAGAGAAACAAAAACAAACTGCAATTCAGACCCAAGAAGGCAGTCTGAACTGCAGCAGGGATTACAATCTCCATCAGGAGCAAGACTGAAACAAAATGGGCAAGCTAAGATCTCTAAACTCCCCAGAAATGGAAATCCAAGAAATCAGCTTACCCACAACTCTCTGAATTACACCATCAAGACCCTTAGACCTATTACAGAAGACTCTATTATTCCTTTCAGCCCAAATGGACCACAGAATAGCAGCTGGGATTGTCTTCCACATTAGCTTCCCTCTCTTACTTAGCCCCTTCAACTTCCAGCTACAAAGGTGTTCCTTAACTGATCTCGGCATGACCCACTTAGCACCCAAAGCTTTAAGAAAATGCATCCAAATCTGAGAGAACGGACAATGAAGACATAAATGCTCTGTAGTTTCTGCAGAAGTCCCACAAAGAACACAATTTGAATCCAGAATTGGAACCTCTCCTCAACAGGTTAGACCTGGAAAGGCATTTGTCAAGGACCATCATCCAAACCAAGAAATTAGATTTTGAGGGGCTCACAGGATTCCAAATCCGAGTAGCTGGGAAATCAGACTGCCCCATGGTACATAATTTAGCAGCCATGGAGACTTCACAGAAAAAACACCATCCGGCTTCCATTTCCAGCACCACATATGATCCCCAAGCACATCAATCTTCTGATTATGAAGAAGAGTCATCAGCTCCAAGAATTCATCCAGCTCCCAATCAAACAAATTCCTCATTAAGAGAGGGGACCAAGACACTGTCAAGCAAAGAGAAGTAATCAGCCACAGTAGCCTCTTGGTTGACAGCACATCTAAAAAGATAAGGGAAGGAACTAGCAAGGGGGCCTTCCAAACACCCTTTATCCTTCCAAACACCACAGTAGCCTCTTGTCTAAGGCATCTCTTAGGCAGGAAGAAATCTCTAGCTACCCAATTAACCAAAATGGAATAGTGACAGGAGGTAATACAACCCTTTATCCACTTACACTACCTCAATCCAAAGCCACTATGCTTCAAAACTTCTAGAAGAAAATCCCAATCCACCAAATCATAGGCTTTCTTTATATCAAGTTTGCAGACCACACCTTTCTCCTTTTTCCGACCCTTGTAATCCACACATTCCTCTTTAGGCCTTGGATAACTTAGACAAGCAGATATTTGTAAAATATTTGGCATCCCAACCAGGTTGGCCTGTTTATGATTTGATCAATGATTTAAGGGTGCAATTGAAACATGTGCTTTGAAATTTGTTTTGAATTTCTACTTGTCTATTCTTTCAGTCATCATTACCAAATTTTGGTTTTATGATTTGCAATACATAATCTCTCTTCATTGTGCTTTCTATAGTTTTGGATGTTAAATTATCTCTACTAATTTTTTACAGATTTTGCTTTTGGAGTTCGCACATTATGATTACAAGTTACGGGGAACAATATCAGCAATGGATTTTGCCTTGTCAATGGTTGCATCTGCTGATATGAACTATATAAACAAATTTCTTAATAGGGTTGATAAATTGAACCATGAACCACAACTTAGGGATACCCGCATTACATTGGAGGAGTTCAAGAATTTTGCAGAGCTACGTAAACAATTGCAGCCATTGTCATTGGCAATTTTCAGTTATGGGAATGTAAATGGTTTGTTGACAAGGAAGGATTTCCAGCGAGCTGCATCCCAGGTACTACCACCACCACTCCAGTCATTCCTCTATATTTTCTCATCTTTTACGGTGTGGAAGAAAGAAAAAAGAAAATCTAAAAAGGGATTTACTTGGTTGAAAGGGAAACCAAAGTGGATAAGAAAATTTAAGATAAAATAGTAAGGTAAATTTTCTTTTTGGTCTCTTTTAGGCCTCATTTGCTTTTCAGCAAGTTACTTACCCGGGTAAGTACATTTACCCATTATTAAAAGGGGCAATTTTGTCCCGTCCAAGTGTTGGTAACTTTTCCCTCTAGGCGGGAAAGTTACTTGCTCACTTGGGAGATGGGTATCACTTACCCAGGAAAATAAATTTTCCGTATACCCCACATATATCTGAAAAAGAAAACACCATCTTGGTCAAATGGGACCAAAATCCCATCGATCAACTTTCCCCCTCTCAAAATCCAAAAAACGAATGGTCCCTTATTTTCTCTCCTAAAATGTAAGACAAATCCAAGGAAAGTGGTATGGCAATGTTGATAGAAACAAAGTTGTAAAGTTGAAAAGCTTACCAAGTTATGGTTTGACTGGTTTAACCAATGGATACATTGTTTAACACATAAAAAGTGCTAAAGCCTGGGCCCAGAAAGTTCACTCAGTCACATATCACTTGTTCAACCAACCACCAGGTCAGATACTAATGATAACACTGCAATGTAGAGTGAGAGGAAGCAAAATGGGCAATGTAGAGTGAGAGGAAGCAAGATGGGCCTAATTCTGTCATAAAAACGAAACCTATATTTTCTTTTTTATTCTCCATTTTTTCGCAGTGTTAGTTCCTGGAATTTGTTTTCCTCCTGTAAACGGGTCATCTCTTCTAATTCCTAATGAAATTGTCTTCTGGTACCAGGTATGTGGTGTCTCTCTTTCTGACAATGTGGTTGACATCATTTTTCATGTATTTGATTCAAATCGTGATGGGAGTCTAAGTTCAGATGAGTTTGTAAGAGTTTTACATAGACGGGAAAGGTATTTAGGGCAACCCATGGAAGCAGGTGTCGTGGGATTGTTGTCTTACTGGATGAGATATGCAAGGGACTGTTCTTTTGCAGGGATCCTTTCTTCTATATCTCGTTAACTGATTCTTGACCTCAAGGCTTACTGTGATATTCGAATTTATGGCATCAAGATTTCGATGACTTTGAAATGACTGTACAGTGTGGGTGCTGGGTTTTCTCTCCAACAAAAGTTGGCCGAGGAATTTCGAATTTGTGAGATTGCTTATGGATGACCAAATTTACCATTTCTTATTCAGGAGTGTCTTGATGGATCAGCACACCTAGAAGAAACTTTGCTACTAACGAGGATTTGTCATTTGTAGTCTCTACATTGAGTCGTGCAGTGGAAGTATGTCTGCCCTAGAAATCTCTTTGACTTGCAACCTGACTGTACAGTTTGACATTTGTACATATTTTCCCAACCTTTAACTGTAGAAACTTGTCTATTTCTGTAACATTGTGATGCCCAACACACTTCCTAATAAAATTCCTTTTCCTATTTGAAATTTTAAATGTGAGGTCCAAGTTTCTTCGTTGAAGTGAAGTCACACCAAACCCAAATTACAATAAAGATTTTTATTTCACTAAAATCATCCTCTTTTAATGGTTAAGTACATTACTAGTGCTTATTATTATTTTTTTTTGGCAAGACAAGAAGCAGCTTCATTACTGATGATATTTGAAAACTATGAGGTGTTTTGTACATATCATAGGATAAGCATGGCTATATTACATTTACATGCTACGTAAGAAAGAGTATGAGCAGCAACGTTAAGGTTTCTATTTACATGAACAAAAAGGATGGAGTGAAAATGCTTTGTTAGGCTATGTAAGCAAGAGCAAGAAATGTAATCGTTCTGTCCACAGGTTTTCGTGTTGATGGTCCGATTGTCCGGTTCGAACGGATGACCTGTTCTGACAGTAGAATTTAAAAAATTAAAAAACGGTCAAAAATTATTGAACGGGGCGACGGTTTGACCGCTTGAGTCAATGATTTGTTAACTTTTTTAACAGTTTTTTACCAGATTTCGGGTTTAGGGTAAAACAGAACCGGTTTCCTGGATGATTCCTGGGCCGAATGGTCTGATCGTCTGAGTCAACGGCGGTTCGAAAACGTTGAGCAAGAGTATGAGCATTGAGCAGCAACTTGTTTAAGACTATTAATCCAAACCTGAATGGTATTATGTATTGGTTGCTTGGGCCAGCAGTCTGGGTTGAGCCTACTTGAGCTTGACACCAAATATCCCGTGCGAATGGGCAGGTGAAAAATAAATGATGTGGATCTTCAGGTTCTACTTTGCAAAATGAACAGAGTTGGTCCATGGAGACCAGCCATTGTGTGCATTTTTCTTTGGTTAGAAGTTCGTCCCACAAGAATTTCCACGTGAAGATTTGAAAGTGGTGTGGCACCTTAAGCTGCCAAATCAATCTCCAGTCGAAGTGTGGCCAGGCCCTTGGCTGTGCCAGACTCCCTTTTCGGGGGGGTTCCATTCAGACACGGCCCACAAAAGCGGGCTGGCACTAGCCCAGCCCACATTACACGTCTAGGTTAGGGTACATATTTACAAAAAAAATATTGTGGTGGATGGTGTTATTTCGTGGCGATCTAAATTTTGAAGATCATTTGCCTATCAAAAACAGAATAATAAAAGTCAAAATACCCGTAACTCGTCACAGACGCGGTAGATGACTCACTGTTACCATGCAAGTCAAGCACTGAAGCCTTACTTTTCCTGGGTAATTTCTCTTTTTGATTGATTGGTCCAGATCAAAGACCACTCTAACTCTATTACGAGAGAACTCGCAACAACCACTAATTACAAGCATCATCTCTACAGCCCTTATCCATTGACACAAGTTGAGTGTTCAAGCATCAGCTCACTCGTCTGAATGAGATAAGGTATTCGGTCACTGGTGGTTAGTCAATACATCTCCCATGGGCATGCGCTCCATTTGAATGTGTACGTATTGACTTGTCTTATATATTGATGCAATACCTCTATTTTTCATGCTTGAAAGATTGAAAAGTGAATACATTTCAATTCTTTGTCATTATTGGAAGGTAAGATGTAAAGTTTCCGTGGAAAATTCCCCTCTAAAACCCTCTTCCATTATTGCTATACCTTTAATGCTCAAATTGAAGAGTTGATTCACTTAAAGAAAGCAACGCCTCAGAACAAACACCGACACCTGTGGTGAGTCTCCCAGAAGTTTCTTGGTGTCCTCCTCCTCCTCCACCCCTCATAATTAAAGATTAATGTGGACGGTGCTCACAACCATTCTCAGTTTGGTTTGTAAATTTCCCTGTTGGATGACCATCTGTGCACCCCATGGTGGTTGTTCTCCATTGTTTCGGATTGTAGGGACCTTTTGAAGGACTTTGAGTCTTATGTTGTCTCTTTTAGGCCAGTTCATACAGGCAATAAAGTTGCCCATGCTTTTGCAAAGTTTGCTTGCAATAACTCCAGGACTGTAACCTGGTCTTTACACACCTGACTTTCTAATGCCTGTACTATTGAATGATGCTAATGAATGAAATTTGTGGTGCTGTGCTCTTTTTAACTCCAAAACCATTGAATCTTTTTTCTTATTGTTTTTTACTGTTTCCTTGGAAATGAAGATGAAATGATGTTTATGTTGTAAAGCATATGCGTAAGCCAGCAACAGTTGATAGATGAATTAAGTTGAATCGGGATTCTAATTGTTTGATTGATGGATCTACTTTACGCTTCAGTCTAAAATTATAATATTAACGAAAGAAAAAGTAAAATAGTAATATGAAGAATATCGATCCTTCCAGGCTTGGAACCGTTAAGTAGATTGAAGAAGTTGGAGGTCCTCAATTTGAATGACAATTACTTCGACAACAGCATCCTGCCGTCTTTGGGTGCCCTCAAATCCCTCTTTCTAGGAATGATTTCACAAACCCTTTTCCTTTTGAAGGTATGTTGAAATTCTAATTTTACTCTCAATTAGATCCTTCTTACATAAGGCTTGGCTATATATGGTCAGGCTTTCTATTAATTACTTTAATTTTTGTCATAGAGTTAGCGGGTCTAGAGAACTTGCGAATGTTGGATTTGAGTGGGAATGGTTTAAAGCTAAAGGGCACTCTACGACTCCAAGGTACGTAAGCCCAATTGAATGTTTAATTTATAACCTTGTTGTGTTGTATTTGTATCGAACTCAGTCAAAGGTATATAGATTTCTTTTAAGAGTCCGGATCTCTTGCCCACGTCTATCTACAACACACGATTCTCTGTAAATTGGGAACATCTCCCCCCTACGTAATACTATGTAGAGAATGAAATATTCTTCATGTATGATTAGGATAAACGTGAGCAGGAGATTTAGACTCTTTCTTTTAACTACACCATTTAATTTTGGCCTTAATTAATAATTCAACACTTTGCAGGCCTTAAGCTCTTGTTCGATAGGTTGAAAAACCTGGAGAGACTCAATTCCTTTGACACAAGTATGGGAGCCCTCAAATCCCTCAAGTCTCTGTGGCTCTCTGATAATGAAATGGAAGGGACCTTTCCTAGCGGAGGTATGCATCATTACTGACGTTCATTTTCTAATCATAACAAGTCAACAGTCAACACGTAGATTGTGTAAAAAGTTGGAATAACTAAATATAATTTGATGATATTGTAGAATTAGCAGATTTACAGAACCTGGAAGCGTTGGATTTAGGTTCGAATAAATTTAACGGCACTCCACAAATAATCCAAGGTATGTCGTCTATCCTATATTGAGCCTTGATATCAATCAATTATACTATGTGATATACCAAAGTCATATGAGTGATATATATTACTAATGCAAAGCACACTAGGATACATGTATACACAATGTATCACACATGTGCACTATTTTAACTTAAAAATTACACAGACTTACCAACCTTGTTTGAAGGCTACTCACCACGAGACTCCTCTACACCATACCACACCTTTACTATTTAACTTAGACTTACTACTTAGTTGTAAGGGGTGAACCCCTATTTATATATGAGCTAACCGTCTTACAGGAGGCAGTTTAACAAAAAAATTTGGCTTTTAATTGATCCACGTGGGATCCTTTAAAACTAAAAATTTAAGTCGGTGCTGACTTTTCATTCCAAATTTAGAATAACCAGCTTTAGATGGAAACTGACTTCCTAACCATAGTTCCAACCTTCCGATCCTACAATTGTCAAGCTTCACATTCAACAATCTACTTCGTCTAATGCCTAATTTCCCCCACTACCAATCTGATTTAAGGGTAATTGATCTCTCGTACAACAACTTTAGTGGTTCTCAATTTCCCACTTGGTTGCTAGAGAACAATACAAGATTGGAGGTATTGAATATAATGAATCAATACAACTAATAGTTCCTTCACTAACACTCCGGTTCTACCATCTCATCCCTGTCTAAGTTTGATTGTTATAATTATTTCCCATAATCAATTTCATGGTCAAATCTCAGAAAATATTGGAGTTATTTTTCCTAACTTACAGATTTTGGACATCTCAATAAATACTTTTAAAGGAAAATTTCCTTAATCTATTGGAAACATGGGATGGTTAGAAGTTTTGGATCTTTTCTAACAATTCTTTATCGGAACATATTCCGGAATACTTTATCATGGGATTCTCAAGGTTACATTTCCTCAGGTTGTCGAATAACAATTTAGATGGCCAAATGCTTCCAACAGCTTTCAACTTGACTGGTTTGAAGTACTTATATGTAGACGGAAAGAATTTTAAGGAAACGTTCTGTATAGCTTGTCTAAAAGCTGGGATTTGATAGCACTGGATGTGAGTAATAACAACATCTCTGGTAGGCTTCCTGGATATGGTTGGGGAATTTATCAAGTTTGGAGGTAGTTGTCATGGCCAACAATCATATTGAAGGACCAATTCCAGCCAACTTTTGTGCACTTGGAGAACTTTGGTTTCTAGATCTTTCTGAGAACAATTTTAATGGCTTAATACCATCTTGCTTCAGCCCAGAGAGTTTTCAATATGCACATTTACAGAAGAACGAGCTTGAAGGACCAGTCAAAGAAGCTTTTTCTAAAAGCACACGTTTGGTGACAGTAACTAGACAAAAGTTATAACTTCTTAAATGGTAGTTTACCCAAATGGGTTGGTAATCTTTCATCAATGGGAGCTCTTTTGTTGAAAGAAAATCGATTGGAAGGTAACATTCACATACAGTTATGCCATCTAGATGAGCTAAACATAATGGACCTCTCTCACAATAATCTTTCTGGTCCGATACCTCCATGCTTGAATAACATTACATTAATTTGGAAGGACAGAATATCTAAATGTAAAAGCAATTATTCATGCAAGAACATGTCATTTGATTCACGGGTGTAGGCGTATTGATGATGATCCTTATTCGTATGACACAAATAGTGATTCAATTTATTCATCATCATATGTGTACAAGAGTACACTTACAGGAATATACATTTGGGATACATTCTAATCTTTTTAAAATCATCGGGGAATAGGTGGAATTCACAACCAAAAATAGGTATGACCCGTACAAGGGTATTGTTCTCAAACTCATGCTTGGCCTTGATCTCTCGTGTAATCAATTAACTGGACACATTCCACTTGGAATTAATGGAGAGTTAATTAAATGGAATCCATGCATTTAACCTATCTAACAATCATTTAAGTGGAAGCATTCCAACAACCATTTCAAACTCGAGTCAATTGGAGAGCTTGGGCCTTTCTTTCAACAATTTGGTTGGGGCAATTCCTCCACAGATTATAGAGTTACACTCTTTATCAGGAAAGACTCCGGAGCAGAAGGGACAGTTTGCAACATTTGGAAAAAGCAGCCATGAGGGCAATTCCCTCTTCTTTGTGGAGAGTCATTAGACAAAATAGTCTACGTCACCATGCCTCTCCTTGTTCCAAACCCCCATACTGTTCTTCTTCTTATCTTTTTTCCCTATTCTGTGATTTTAAGCCATTTTTGTATCTATCATTAAATCAACTAATTAAAGGCAGATGACTGACTATTACGGTTCATTAATTACATAATTTCTTTTTTACTGCCCTATCTAGATGAAAATAAAAAATAACCGGCTTCTGCATGTAGCTCATGCAATTAGACTCAGGAGCAACCGAGTAAACTAAACTCTCTCTATCTCTCTGTTAATTTGAACCAAAGTTTTTGGTTCAGATTCTTAGTTCTAGTTACAAACAAAATGGCTAAAAATGGTGGAGAGGATTTTCCCTATTTGCAGGAAGAACTGCAATAGTATAAAAAAAAACCATTCACACAATAAGAAATGAAGTAACAATAACAAGCCTCTACTGCAAAAAGACCAATACCGTCAAATAAGCATTCACGCAATACTTTCATCTGGCGTCAAGAAAAACAGAATACATTTCATTTGGTTGGTGGTGAGATCCATTTTGCTCGATAAAAATCGAAAGATCATTAACGGTTCACACGATATAGAGATTGACCAACTCATCCAACCATGTGAAGCACGCAAACCTAACTTTTCAACTTTTCTCCTTTTTTCTGTTTAATTAATCAAAGTGGGATTAAAAATTTAAAATTAAAGCCCATGTCAGTAGAAATTACATCCACTGATGAGCAGTCGTAGTTTTATTGGGGTGAATTCATTGTAAAGGTAACCGTAAATTATTTTTTTAATTGGTTCTTTTCATTACACCTAGCCATCCAACTTGAAGACCATGGGCCCATGGCCCTGTTGATCCAACTCAAAGAAAGAATCATTGTTTTGGGGACGACAAGTTGGGTACAGGCTCATGCCTCCAACATAAACCTATGAATTTTATAATTAGGATAAATTTTTTAAACTACTCTTATGATTTAACTAATTGATTAGGTGTATCTTTACTGTTTGAGAATTGACTAACACTATGTCTATTATTTTTAGCAATTGATTAACTCAACCCTTATCGTTAATATCCATTAATTTTTTGTTACTGATATATTTATTAGAAATTCTTAAAACACCCTTTCTATCATATTTGGGTCTCCTCTCAGTCTCGTCTAGAGGCTTTCTTCATTATTCCGATGTTCTGAAACTCAAAGGCTTCGGACGTAGCTAGTGTGCGAAATAGATCTTAGTTCCGGCAAAGATATCTCAGTTCCAGCATCCTCAAAGCAACATTTCTAAGCCTCCGCAACTAAGGTTCAGGAACTGTCTTCTCCGTCAGCCCCGTGGTGCTCCTCCTCCACCTACCTCGATCCACAAACTCCAAAAATTTCTCCTTTTCCCAAGGTAATCTAACCGAATCACCATTACCAGTTGACTGCTCTCCAGCAAACCCAATTAAGGGGGTCCAATGTCATCTCGAATATAATCACTTCTTTGTTCTTCTTTCAAGTTTCCACTATGATTAACTACACTATATTCACTAGTCTTAGGAGTGGTACTCTTTTCAGAAAAGTCATGAAATTCAGCAAATTTCCCGCTTGTTGTTTAAACTATTTTGGACAATTTCAGTCGTGGAGTCCAAATGGGGTTTTCTGGGTTTGTCCCCATGACTCCAAGGAGATGAAATTGAGCGATTTCCTAGAGCAAAACTCACCAAGTCATCGAATGACGGGTTCCCGCCATCTCCCTCTAAGGAATTAGGAGGAGAAGAAAGATTGATCATTTCTTGTTTCTTCTTGCCCTTGTGGTTCTTGCTCTTGCCATGGCAATCTTTCTCTTGGAGAGCCAAGCTTGAGAGACCATCGATCGCGAATTTGGTCGTAGAAACTTGGTTTGAGCTTTCTCTTCTTTTTGGTCTTGCGAACAACTTCTGTATGGGGTCCCTTAGTTTCAACTTCGACAGAGGAACAAAATCTTTCGAGTTTGAGAATTCTAAGGCCGGCTGAAGACGGTTTATTGCATTGGAAAGAGGAGGAGAAGCAGGTATAGAATAAGAAGATGGAAAGATGTTGAATGAACACGACGGGGAGGACGCCATGGAGGATGAGAGGGTCGGGACGTGTTGGAACTTCTCTAACTTGTGCAGCAGCTCAGGGTTCAGGTTCGTGCGGAACTTCTCTAACCAGTACCTTCTGAAGCAAAGAAGCATCAGGAATAAAAAAGAACATCATTGCAAATCACAAACATTTGAAGCAAAGAAAATCATTTCTCTCTAGATTTTAAGCAAAAGCAATGAACAGTGGTGCAGAACAGTTTCTCTTTAGGAAAAGAAGGCTGGGTTGGGTATGTCTTTAACACACTCAAATTTCGCATAAAGACACAAACAGAGGCCCCAAGGTACTTGCCGCGGCATGCAGGAAGGGAGTCCGACTGACCATTCGGTTGGCTTCCGCCCAAGGAAACCTTGGTGGGCCAAAGCAACCCATCCAGGTGATTCCATTCCAGCCATCCAATGCCTCATAGTCACACCCTTTTCGAAACATCACCAGGAATCGTCGAGAGGGAGAGGGAGAGGGAGGGAGAGATTTGAGAGATCTATAATTTCGGTGGTTCTAGAGAAGAGAACGAGAGGGAGAGGAAAGGGAGATACACTTTTTGAAAATTTAAATAAAAGTGGAGGGTAAAATAGGGTAATGACAGTCAATTTAAGAAATTTACCCTTATAATTAATCTTGCACACCCTCCTTGGGTTGAGACTTGAGAGCGAGAGGTGGGGTTCAATCTTATAATTTTATTTTCAAATATAAAAATAAATAAACAAAGTGAACAATATAATTAATAGACGAATTGTCTATTTTGCATAAAGATCTGACTAGAAGCACGTTTGCTAGACGTGTCTTTTCCGTGTGAGATTAAAACGCGAAAGACGGAAGAAGCTTCATTTAGAGTTTCCCGAAATCAGTTTAAAATGGGCTTCTCATGTTTTTTTAACATTCTGTCTTTTGGCGGCTAGATCTTCCATATGCCAAATGGAAATAGACCGAAAATCGGTATTCTTGGCTTGTAAATAGCCAAAAGACCATGCGGAAAGATACACCAAACGGGCTATAATTAATAGGTTATGGCGATGGGATCTGCTTACAACAAAAACTATCCCAACGTGGTCCTAATGTATGCAATGTGCAATGTGCAATGTGGAAACACAGATGATGTTGGAACCCAACATGTATGTAATGTGTATATATGGATGATGTTGGAACATGGTAAAACAGTCTTGCCCCTGAAAGGTAGAGTTCGACTTCAGTTAGGGTAGTCTGTTCTAATAGCCTTTACAGCTTTGCGTTGAATATCTCGTAGCTCTGTGATTTAATTATTTCATAGAAAATATTTCCAATGTAAGGTTGCAAGGGGTTGCTCGAACAGTGCGAAGACTGACTTGCCCTGATAGAAAGGGAAAAATTTTAGCTGTTGGTGCCCAACAGCCTATTGTTGAGAGAATTTCTAGGAATGCCACATTACCATGAAAATGGAAATTTCTCAATCAAATCGGCATATAATGAGGCCTGTTGGATGCATGGTAACCCTAGTAGGGTGACAAAGGAAATCAATAAGGTGTGGAGTCTGAAAATTGCCCCCAAGATTAAAGTCTTTTTATACCTTTTGCTCAACAACAATCTTCCCTCTAGGGTAGTGCTTAGTAAAAGAGAATTTGATATTGATGGCTCATGTGGGTTCTGTGGGGATGAAGGGGATTTTGTCCATATTTTCATTAGATGCCACTTTACTAGACAAATATGGCTCATCACGAGAGATACTATTTCGACGGAAAATAGAAATTCGATGGAAAATAGCAATTCGATGATTGATTGGTGGATTTCTTTGAATGGTAATGCTGATTGTCTTAAGAGTCAATTTGTAAAGAAAAAAATTGTTGTTTTGCTATGGCATATCTGGAAGAACAGAAATAACAAGATTTTCAATAATAAAGCAATCTCCCTTCCCATAATTATTGAGAGAGCTAAAAACTCCTTTACAGAATCAATTTCAAGTTTTGAATGTGACTCAATGATTGAACCTAGCAAACAAATCATCCCTGTCAAGTGGATAAATCCAAAGGTGGATGCTATC